TGCATCAGCCTCCTAAATGCTAGGACTACAAGCATATTGATAAAGTAAATTAAAATTTGAATCATTCAGGGTTTTGGGATTGTATCCAAGAAATAATTGCTAAATGCAATGTCATGAATTTTTTTGTAGGGCTTTTATAATTTTAACTCTTGTAGTTATGTCTTTAATATATTATAAGTTAGTTTTTATATGTGATATAAAGATCTAATTTCATTTTTTGAGATATTCTCTCCAGTATAATTTTAATATTACTATAATAATTTATTTATCCAGTTATTTACAGACATTCATGTTATCTTCTTATTTTTGTTCTCTTTCCTTTAGTTCTTTAAAAGGATATTATCAAGGCTAGAAGGATGGTTCAGCAGTTGAGAGCACTGGCTGCTCTTTCAGAGGTCCTGGGTTCAATTCCTAGCACCCACATGGTAGCTCACAACTGTCTGGAACTTCAGTTCCAGGGGATCCAACACCCTCACATAGGCACACATGCAGACAAAATACCAATCAGTGCACATAAAAGAAAATAATAAATAATTTTAAAAGATAGTATTATTTGGGGCTTGAGAGATGGCTCAGAGGTTAAGAGCACTTGCTGATTTTCCAAGGACCAGGGCTCAATTCCTAGCACCCATATGGCAGCTCACCACTGTCTGTATCTACAGTTTCAGGGATCCAATGCCCTCTTCTGACCTCTGAGGGCATTCTCTACTCATGTGGTACACAGACATATGTGGATAACACATCCATACACATAAAATAAAATGACAATAAGAACCACTATTCAGGCACATGGTGTTGGGTTAAGTATGTAATGGACTTTAGGTATACTGTTCTCTACCCTATCTCTTGTCAGCCTTCCTTCTCCCAGTAGTCCCCTATTCTCCAAAATAGGTTTTGATGCTTATTTTTTTTTAGGTTGCCCGTTGTCTTGCACAAGTTTATGTATATGTAATCTTCTGCATCTTCTTAGGGTAATTAGCATGAGCCAGGGTGGGGGCTTATTTACGAGATCAAGAGCAACTTTCCATCTGTGACACCTCTGAGGAATAGAACTCTGGATGTCCTAGCAGCAATTATCTGCTGATAGCTCCTCGGGGAACTATTATCTAGAAAGAGTATTTCCATTCAAACTATTTGTTTTCTGTAGCTCACAAAGTAAGTTTTCCTCCTTGTCTTCATCGTTGAAATAAATGTCAATTTGGATATACACATCTGGGCTGGAGAGATGGCTCAGTGGTTAAGAGCACTGACTGCACCTCCAGAGGTCCTGAGTTCAAATCCCAGCAACCACATGGTGGCTCACAACCATCTGTAATGAGATCTGATGCCCTCTTCTGGTGTGTCTGAAGACAGCTACAGTGTATTCATATATAATAAATAAATAAATAAATATTAAAAAAAGAATATACACATCTACAAATTTGATCTAGGAATCACATATGAGAGAAAACATTCAGCATTTCCCCTATACAGCTTTTATGCCTACTTCCACGTCACATATTCACATGGTATTTTCTGTGTCTATATAAAATCTAGACACCATTAATGAGAGAAAACATGAGATTAGTCTTTCTGAGGTTGACTTAATTTAATCTGATTATCTCTAGTTGTATCCATCAACACTTGGACAGGTCACTTGTGAACCTACTTTAGCCTTTGTGTTTTTAAAGGTTTTACTGCTGTAAAGGGACACCATGACCAAGGCAACTCTTATAAAAGAATCTGTTTACTTGGGGCTAGCTTACAGTTTTAGAGGATTAGTCTGTTGTCCTCATGGTAGGAAGCATGGCAACATGCAGACAGACATGGTGCTGAAGAAGGATCTGAGAATTCTATATCTTGACCCACTTGCAGCAGAAGGAGACTGTGCACCACACTGGATATACCTCGAGCAGAAGAGACCTCAAAGCCCACCTTCACAGTGAAACACTTTCTCCAACAAAGCCTTACTTCCTAATAGTACCGCTTCTTACAGCTAACCATTCAAACACATCACACAGGGCATTTGCATAATGTTCTCATTTTCCAGTATATGTCAGTATTTATAAATGTCTTGAATTACTAAGGAAATTACATGGATTGTCCTTTCAAGTTCTCACTCAATGGAATACTATACAGCGATAAAAGGGTGACCTGTGCGATGCCACAGATGAATCTCACAGGCATTATTTAGAGTAAAAGAAGTCCACTACAAAAAGTATACATTGTGTTATTCTGTTCATATATAATTAAAGAACAGAGGATACAAATAGCAGTTATGTCTGGGGGCTGGCATGTGTTGGCTGGGAAGGAACATAATGATATCCCCGGATGCTGGAATGATTTGCAATCCCGATATAGATGGTGGCTATGGAAACATACTGAGCAGACACTGGCAGACACTGGTACAGCGTGCCCTGTCTCTGTGTGGCAAGCAACAGAGTCATGCCTTTCTAAGAATTCATTCTAATGGGAAAGACATTATTGACAACTAACATTGGTAGTGCATCCATGCTGTGGACATACAGGGTAGGGAGAACACAGGAAGTTCAAGGATGAGGAACCAATGGCTCAGCTGAGAGCAGAAAAGTATACGGTCAGGGGAAGGGGTAAGAAAGAACCTGGAGGAAGCATCAGCATATTCAAAGGTCAGGAAGGGAGAGAGTGAGTCACATCTGAAGACTTAAGAACTAGTGAGGGGCTCGGTTAACAGAATGCTCATATAGCATATGTGTAACTCTGGGTTTGATTCCAGAACCACAAACAACTCGGTGTGATGGCACAGGCCTGAAATCCAAGTCATCCTAGGTTACATGATGAGTCCAGGTCAAAAGAAACAGATTAGTATGGCTGGATAGAGGGGAACAGATCAGGGTGAAGCACGGATGCTGTTAATGTCAGTGGGGTGAGTGACCCTTTTGTTCGCTCATTGAGGAAGTAGTTCTTCTAAGGACAAAGGGAAGCCCAATGGCCTGGTTTTAATCAGGAAGTAATCAAGATTAGATTTACATTTTAGGGAATAACTCTGGGAGGGAAACTAGGGAAGCCCTTGCATGGTGGTCCAGGGTTAAGCCCAGGCTAAGAAAGAGGCGGGAGCTGGGAGAAGACTACTTTAGCTGGAAGAAGGTGATCGAAGTGAAGACTTTGGGTTGGCAGAAATACTGAGTGGTGGAAGAGGCAGGATTCTTCTCCACTTGCCTCCATTTTGACATGATCAGGTACAATGGTTAGTCTTGTCAACTCAACTGATCTCAACTCAACTCAGTGTGCATGTTTATACACATATATGTGAGAAGTAACTTCAATTGAGAAATAAATGCCTTCATCAGACTGCCTGTAGGTAAGTCTGTGTGGGCATTTTTCTAGTTAGCGACTGATACCAGAAGGTCCAGGTTACTGGGAATGGCGCCAGCCCTGACCAAGCAGTCCTGAGTGGTCTAAGAAAGGAGATCGAACATGGTAGTTAGCAGTGTTCCTCCACTGCCTCTCCTTCAGTTTCTGCCCTGGCTTCCCTCAATGGATTGTGCTGCTGATATGTAAGTTCAGCAGAGTCTTTCCCCACCAAGTTGCCTTTGGTCATGGTATCTTTCTCATAGTTAGAAAAACAGATATCTTTTTCATAGTTAGAAAAACAATTAGGGAAGGCACTTAGAAACTGCAGAAGACCTAGGCACCCGCACTGTCGCTTAATTTGGACTTTGAACTTCCACGGTGACTTTGTTCATGATTTTACTTCCTTCTAGAAGGAACCGTGTGCTTTTGGAAAGTCTTCCCAGGCTGGCTGCATTGTGGTTGTGAGCCAGCTATGAACAGGAGTTGGTGTGTGTGTGTGTGTGTGTGGTGCGTTGGTAAGAAGGAAACAGCTAGAGCCTTTCTCTAATATATTAAACCCTCCAAGTTTTTGTCATTCCCTCCCGACACTCCACTGGCCAAGCAAGCTCTTTTTCAGTTTCAAAGGAGTTAAGAAGGCCAGAGTGATTTGTCAACACCCATTATCTCAGGTAGTTTGGGCATGGCAAAATCTAAGGATCCTCCTGCCCAAGACAGAGCCTGGGGCCAGAGCTTGGAGCCTTATGCGCCTTGGCGCCTGAGGTGGGAGGGTGGAGAGAGCAAGATATTTATAGTCAGTTGTGAACGAATCTAATGGAATAAGAAGTTTGCAGATCTGTCCATCTGCAAATCCAGAAAGGGCGGGACTGGGGAGTGGGCTCTGGCTCCGCTCCAACGTATTGGGAACTCCTCTCCTTGGATCTGAAAGGGAGTTAGACGCAAAGAGCTTTCTGCAGTGAACACCGTTGGAGTCTGGACTAGGCTCTGGCTGATCCTGCTGAATAGACTCAGAAGCCCTGGGAGGGCTAGGGTGCTGCAGGGGGCTGGGAGCGCGCCGCACAGGCTCTGCACAGCAGTAGGAGCGGCGACAGAAGGCGCGCTGGTGCAGGTGTGCCCTAGGGAGGGCGCCGGCCTCGGTTGGGATCACCAACCGCATTAGCCTGAGCTGCCCAGACCGACGGTGCTCGGCTGCTGATCAGCTCGCTGCGGATTTTCCACCCAGGTAGGGGACGGCGATCCTTGCGGCAGTGCCCCGCTCCCAGGTCTGGCGTTGGGACCGCTGGGTGCGGTTGTTGGGAAAATCCTCAAAGGACAGCAGAGTTGGAAAGCAGCGCACCAAAAAGCGAGCACTTGCTGCTGCCCAAGGCTGCGCGCTTCTTTAAACGTGGCCTTCCCCAGGACTTGGAGTGAAAGCACATGAACTATTGGCGCGGTAAATAGTTTCCCAACTTGGGCTACTGACATAGGTGCTTTCCACATGCTTCCTGGGCATCCCTTTAGTTTCAACCTTACTCTTCATAGACCATTTTGTTCTCAAAGAACAGATTAAATACATGCCCACACCTGCTGGCTCTGGACTGGGGTTTGTGAGTGTGTTTCTCTGTGTGGAGGGCGCCCTCCACGGGCGTGGGAGCCGTTTCTTAGGGACTCGGGTTTTGTCTCTGGATGGATTTTAGCGCAAGGAAAAGAACATGATTTGTTTTGCAGGGATGGGTGAACAAATGCGGTTAGCTAGGGAGGAGCGAGAAGCTGCTGTTCCCTCAGCAGACTGGTGGTAGATTTCTCATCTGTTGGGTGCAGCAGATCCTGCTGCCCAACCGCTTTTATCTTATATCCAGAAATCGCAGATGCAAACAGGCTCCGTTTAAAGGTAACTTGATGCAGATGTGTTGGGTAAGGTAGGGCGGGGCGCTGGGGGATGCTTGCTGGTTTCTAATCCTGTTTGGAAGGTGAATGTGGGTGGCTCTGGCTCCGGGGAGGGGCTGGTGAGGGATGAGAGGTGTGTGGATGGTGGAGAATTAGACATTGCGACCAGCTTGGCTGTCTCTGCTTTTGCTTGCCCTGTGTAGAAGAGGCGACTTGTTCTGCTTGCTAGAAGATGCAGTTGATATGGTGAGGCACAATCTGTGTCTTCCCTTAGTCAGCAAATACTTGTCTAACATGTTATGTGTCAGAGGTGGGAGTGATCCTTAGGAATGAAGAGATGATGGAAAAAAAATCCTAATTTGGCACAAGCTCGCACCCGGTGGGGGGACAAACACCTGTAGTAAGAAGGTGTGACCAGTTCGTGGATGGTGGTGTGAAGAGTGGATGTTGGTAGAGAGGAAAAGAGAATTATCCTAAAAAGAAGTCCCCAGGGGGCTTAGCAGAGATTGGATTTGTTTCTTGATCCATCGCTCTTGAATATCCTGCAACCCTCTCCCACCCCATCACCATCACTGCTGGTGGGAAGGCAGAGCTGTTGTTTGCAGAACAAGACTAGTGTCAACGAGGTACTTTTGAAGGCTGCACTGAGGGAGCACACCATTGTAGGTCAGGGTTTTTACTTTTGTCCTCTTGATAAGTATTTTCTCTAAATTTCAGGATAATGGAGTATTGAAATAGCATTTCACAAAGGCAGGGACTCTGGAAATTTCTAAGAGAGTTCCAGAGCAGATCAACTTCTGCTTCTTCCCCTTCTCCTCCAACTTGTCCTCCTCCTCTTCCTCCTCCTCTTCTTCCTCCTCTTTCTCTTCCTCCTCTTTCTCTTCCTCCTCCTCTTCTTCCTCCTCCTCTTCTTCCTCCTCTTTCTCTTCCTCCTCTTCCTCCTCTTCTTCCTTCTCCTCCTCCTCCTCCTCCTCCTCCTCCTCCTCCTCCTCCTCCTCCTCCTCCCTAGTTGTTCATTTTCCAGTACAGTTCAGGATAACTCTGACCCAGTTTATCCTCCATGGTGGAATAAAGGAGAGGTAAAGTTGTTACCATCAGTCTACTCTGGAAGAGGCACATTTAGCCTTGGGGTTAATTCCTCTGGGACTTTGTTGGTAGGTTATTCCTCTTGCCAGAGGTGTGCCTTACATGCATTTTGTAACTGAAACCACCAGGTGTTTGAACAATAGCCTGGCACACTGTGAGTAGTGTGGCCTTGACTGCTCTAAGAAAGCCGGTCTTAGGCAAGTATCTTAGTATTTCTTTGAGCCTTGATTTCATCATCTGTAAAATGGAAGCAATGGCACTGTCATGATAGCTATGTAATATACACTTAAAAGTATTTGCTCATTGTTAAACAATCAGCATATGTTAATCATCTGGGATGAAGTCGCTATTTAAGAACTTTAAGGTTGCTCATTGAGTTCCTACCATGTGTCAGGCACTTCTCTAAATATGTGAACTACAGCATTGAGCAAACGGTGTGTGTGTGTGTATGTGTGTGTGTTAATGAACAAATAAGTAAGTACATAACATATTAGCCCAGGAACTGTGATGAAGAAAAATAAGTAGAATTAGAAGCATGAGGAGTGCTGCAAGGTTTGGAGTGTGTTTGGTATCTGTCTGTCTGTCTATCTATCTGTCTGTCTATAATCAACACCATCATCTCTATTATCTATTTGTCTATCTCCTTCATATCTATCTATCTATCTTTCTATCTATCATCTATCTATCTATCTATCTATCTATCTATCTATCATCTATATCTATCATCTATCTATCTATCTATCTATCTATCATCTAGCAATCAATTATCTATCAATCAATCAATCAATCAACCATCTCTATGTCTATCTATCTATAATCAACATCTCTATAATCTATATGTCTATCTCATATCTATTATCTACCTATCATCATCTCTATCATCTATCTCTTTCATATCTATCTATTGCCTATCTATCTATCTATCTATCTATCTATCTATCTATCTATATCTATCTATCTATCTATCTATCTATCTATCTACCTATCTCTAGGTGGTTAGGGAGATGGTTGATAACAAGAGCATTTGACCAAGTCTGGGGAAAGTTGAGGTAGGAAGCCAGGCAGTGTGAGTAGAGTAACAGAACCTGCAAAAGCCTCATACAAGAGACAAGCACATTCATAAGAGAACAAGAAAGAGACCCAGGAAGTCAAGTTGTGTGAATGAGGGGGATGGTGGTGGGAACTGTCTGAGGATAACATTAAAAGGACATTGTTACCTTGCTTCATGATTTATGTTTATATATTTGTCACTAAGATACAGCATTGACTTCTTGTTCTAAATGTTCTCTTAGCTGAGTTCCTAAGCTCCATGTTTAAAAAAGAAGGTTATTTGGTAGGAAGTGGTACCTGGGCAATTCAAAACATGATCTAATGCAACAAACCAGAGGGATACATCTCTGCAAAGCAAACGAGGTCTGAGGAGACGGTTCAGTGGCTCAGATTCCTACCACCCAGATTGAGAATGCATTTGTTTCTTTTCCAGATGAACCAGAGTTACCTTTAGTGAAGAGTCCAGCAGGTGTTGCCCTCACTGGCTCATGCTCTCTTTTCTTTGGCAAGAGTCTTTGTGATTATGGAAAGGATTGGGATATCTGGAAATATACTGACCTTCAGTGCACGATGGAGTGCATTTATGTATGGCGAGATGGTGAATTTATTTAGGGCTTCCATCCAGAAGCTTAATATAAAGATCGCAGCTTGCTGCTTTGTCCTTTGGAGAAAGCAGTGTTTGGGGATCTGAGGACTCCATCAGCTAGCTCTCTGTGGTGCAGCAAACCTACTGCAGTGTTCCATGAGTAAAACCTGGGGGCGGGGAGGGAGATTGATAGCTGAAAACCTTGTGAAAGCATCTGTGAAATAGGATGTGGGGAGGCATGGTCAAGGTCAGGGTGACTGGCTGGCCATCATCCAATTCATCTCAGAAGAGAACATTTACTTCTGTGCATTTTTTCCCATCCAAGGTCTGGCTCTTAGCTATACTCCTTAGTCTAAGAAACCTGATCGGTCTCTCTGGGCTATTTCAGAGTGGCTTTGTTCATCTGCATGCCACGTTGTTGATCCTCGGTGGTGGAGACACTGTGTTCTATGGCTAGTGTATGTAAGCCCTGCAGACCCCCATCATGGCATCCAAACTAGAGGGAGCAGAGCTGCTTAGAGACCTACCTGAAGAACTGATCACACACTTTAAGGTTTGTCTTAAGAGATTACAGAATAAACCACCCTCAAACTCAGTGACCTTGAACAACCAGCATTTATTATTTTTTCTCATGTGTACGGAATGGCCAGGAGATCTGTGTGAGTTGTCCTTGGCTGATCTCCGCTGTGCCTGTTCATGTGACTTGGCTCTCTTGATGGAGAGTTTGAAAAAGGGCTGCTTTGGGATGACCTGAGCTGGGATGACTTGGTTCTGACTGTGCTTGTCCCTCATATTTTCTTAGTATAGCTAGGCATGTTCACGTGACAAAGGCAAAAAAACCAGGACAAAGTGGAAGTGTATGGGTTAGGAATATAGGTCAGTGGGTAGATTGCTTGCCTAGCATGCACAAAGCCCTCGATTTTGTCTCTATTACCATAAAAACTGGGCATGGTGATACATGTATAAAATCTCAGCAACTGAGATGGAAGCAGGATATCAGAAATATAAAGTCATCCTTTGCTACATAGTAAGTTCAAGGCCAACCTCAACTACATGGGATATTGTCTAGAAAAACATAAGAGAAAAAGGAGGAGAAGGAGGAGGAAGAGAAAGAAAGAAAAAAGAGAAAGAAAATGAAAGTGGGAATTGTTTTCATAAGTCTAAACTTATAGCTGACATATCATTTTTTATCCTCATTTATTAACAAAAACACTATACAAGGAAACCAGTATGAAGGTGTAAAGAAATAGACTCCATTTCTTTAGTTGATCTTAGCCCAAAAGACTGAGGAGCAATTAGATTCAGCATTGCAAAGATCAGGGTACAGTGAGGGGAAGAATTTGGAATGTGTGGATCTTAGGGGAGAAGGGTTCAGAAGCCCCTAGCTGAGGAGCTATTGACAGTGGACAGGGGGTCAGTTTTCTTTAAGGGTGTCATCATCTGTGCTCTGGTTGATGGCTCTACACCAGAAATAACATGGGCAGCACACATTGGACTCGATAGATAAAGGTGCTCACACACATGCACACACATGCACACACATGTACACACACACACACACACAAAACATGAAGTAGGGAGAGGTTCAGTATATGGATTGGAACTGAGAGTAGGTAGGGGGAGAGTCAGGGGTGAATATGATCTAGATACATTGTATGCATGGGTGCAATTCTCAAAGAATTAACAAAAATACATTAAAACTAAGTTCCTGTGGTTAGATGTCCTTTCTCTATGGGCCCAAATTGGATGGATAATGCTTGTGGCTTTCCCCATGTGACTGTCTTTTCTCTGTAGTTACATGCATCTTTAGACAGTCATTCACTAAATCTTTATTGAGTACTCTTTAGGGCCGGACATGTCATAGGCAGGACATGCAGCAGTTAAGCATAGTGCAAGCTCTACCCCACGAAGCATCCATTCCAGTTGGGGAGGTAAATCTATAAATACATGAGTATATGTATACCATGGTAGGCAGTTAAGGAACACCCAACAGGGAAAGGAGGAGGGAGATATTTGAATGGGGTTGGGAAGGTACTGCAAAGTGAGGGGTGGGAAGCAGGTAACTGATTGGACAGGTGTGAGGGAAATGAATGAGTGAACCACTACAGACAGTTCAAGGCAGGGCAAGCAAATGCAGAGGTCTTGAGGCAACAGAATGCTGGCACATTTCAGGAACAGGAAGTAGGATCAGATGAGAAACATCGAGCACAAAAGTAGGTGGCATCATCAGAGTATCCTGAAGTCAGATAATAGAGGGATTTGAGTGGACTTGGGCTTTGACT